CCAGAATGTCATGAACCTTGGCAGAACTGCAAGATATCTGCCATTTCGAACTGCATTGAAATATTCAGAGTGACCTCAGAAGAGCTTTCCATTATAATGAGATATACCTCTAACAATGATGGCAAGATGAATCTGACCTTATGTTAGCATTTTGAGAAATGAGCTTTAAAATGGCTTGAAGCATTGCAGCAAAAGTGAAGGAGATGGTGTTTCAGCAAGATAATAATCTCAAGCTTGACTTAGCTGACTTAGAGAAAATGTTATTCAGACAATGATATGGCATTATCAATTATCAGAGCTCAATTTTATAGATCATCTTTGAAGGTATCTCATAAAACGATTAGCAAGGCATGAGGAGCCACTTAGAGAGATTACAGAATTGTGAAAGCAATTGAAAAAGAAATAAAAGAGTATTGGCAGGTTTGTGCATCAGATTTTGATCCACAACATGCATGAATGGGTTGAGGCAGTGTTTAAGGCAAAGGGCTGATTGTCCAACTACTAGAGTTTTGAAGTTTGTTAGTGACAAAAGTGTATAAATGAGTTCACCTGATAGAGTTGCATATACCTTCAGAACAGATCATCAAAATTCAGCCAACAGATACTCATTTGAAAGCTGAGAAGTATGGCTTTCTCATATTATTTTATCTGTGAATATAGCTACAGGCAATCTGAAGATAGAAGAAAAACAGTAAAAATTACGAAAATATGTGTGTAGCTTTGTTAATCACTGTATATCATATTTGGGCTGTGTTAATCATAAACAGCAGATGGTCTATGGATAGAATGGTTGGTACTACAGTCGTGGACAGCCAAACATGACAATTTTAAGAAATATTTCTAGAATGTCCGATATGTATCAGAATCGATCTGGATTGATGAGGGGGTGTCTGTAAATAAATTTGAGGTAAATCCTGTGAACTGTTTGCCTGCAAAAGGTAATTTTGTGACCCAGAACCCCTCAAAAATTTGGTGGACCCCCAAGAACAGGCCTAAAAATCACGTAAAATATGCCAATCGACTCCTTTTGAGCTCCTTTATATCATTTTATGGAAAGTTCACCAAAACCAACGATGAAAATTGGGCAAACAATTACGCAGGTTGGCCGTTGTGACTGGGGCTCATGACCAATAAGTCATATATTACAGTGCATGGTCACAACAAGGCTCGCACAGTCAAAAACATGTCTGGGCTATACAATCAAACAACAGCTCTAGCTCCTTCTAACCTTTCTCTACTGAAAACTCAGATGATAATATGTTCCAATTGAGGTAGCTTTGAACTAATAGTACCTGATCCATGTGTCTGTAGCCAAAAAACATTCAGATTTTCGACTAAAAATTTGGTGGATGCCAAAAATGCATGAGAAAAATACAAAGAAAGTGTTTTTGGATGTTTCTCGACATTCTGAGTCTGAATCTGCAGTCAAAATCGAAAAGTAACGAGCTGTTCGGGCAGAATAAATGCATTTTTATTTTTGTTGACTTTGGTTGTCCACGACTGTATCTGAGACATAAGTGTCCTGAAAGTCCGAAGTTCAATTCCCGGTCTGTGCAGTTTTATGTGTTTTTAATTTTAAAAAAGCGCAACTCTCATTGTTTACAAATAACAATAAACTATGATGTTCATGCTGGCGCATCTAGCTAAATTTGGTGTTATTTGTGCATTGTGGCACCTTGAAGCATAAGAATTTGAGTGGCTGACATTTATATACATTTGGTGACCTCAAATCTTCGCCTTTTTGAGCTAGAAAATGGTCTGCATGCAGCTCTGATTGCAGAGCATCAATGTGTGATCTATCACGTATTTTTGATATGTTTAAAAGTTGAAAAAATGGATCACTATACTGTGGTGATGGAAAACCTCAATTGCATCAATAGCTCTTGTTTCAATATGCTCAGAATGAAGAAATTGAAGTGAAATGCAGTGAAATGTGAAGATCTATTGCTTGTTTCTCAAGCAGAAACTATGATGAGTCTGGAAAATGTTAAATCAGTCATTGTTTGTGTCACTGTACTGAAATATATAACAAAATAATGAATACTGTGGTTTGAACCACTTTGAAGCCATTGAATGCCTTGGTTTGAATCGCTTTCAAGCCATTGAATACAATGGTTTTGAAGCTATTGAATGCCTTGGTTTCAATGACTTGGAACCCAATGGTTTGAACCGCTTTGAAGCCATTGAATGCCTTGGTTTGAATCGCTTTCAAGCCATCAAATACAATGGTTTGAATGGCTTTGAAGCCATTGAATTGAATGGCTTTCAATGGCTTTCAAGCTGTTGAACATGATGGTTTGAACCCCTTTGAAGCCATTGAATGCCTTGGTTTGAATCGCTTTCAAGCCGTCAGCCCTTGAGACATTAACCCTAGCAAAGTCAGTGCTGTGATTGGCTCTGAAGTTTTGATCAGCCGTGTCATGCATGTTCAAACTCCAGTTCGTATGCCCATTACAAAAGATAACAAATCTGAGTAAGCACAAAATATAACACAGTAAGGAACTTTTGAAGGAAGGGCCCTCTCCTAACCTTAGGACAGGGGCAGAAAATGAAACCACTTTGTAATGGTCCACTCTCCCATGCATTGCTTAACTGTCCCACGGGTATCAGAAAATGTCACATAGATGCCATAAGTGCCCAGTGTCACACAAACTCTCCTTCGTATCTCAGGAATCGTAACAGCATCGTTGTTGACTCCATGGACCCACCAGCCTGTCTCAATTCAGTACTGCTGCAGGTCAAGTGGAGTTTGCATGGTGTACTGGAGCAAGGTTTGAATAAGATTGGCAGCCTCTGGCTTATACTAGTACACCTAGTCTGCACGAGCGGTCATAATACCTATATGACGAGAATGTTCAGTGCACTTACCCCTAGGTCCTTTCCCCCCCCCCAACATCATGCCACGAATGCCCAGGAACAAGAAGAGGTCCACAGTGGACATAGAGAAGGTACTCTCTTTGTTCATACGCTTGAATAGCATTAATTAACTTTCCTATTCAGCTCCCCAAATGCTGCGAATGTGGACGGGCTGTTGCACGTGCTCGCGACCACATGTGCTTCAACCATCTGCAAGTTATCTATGCACGCTATGCAGATCAGCCATGCCCTACACAATTTGTCTGTGAAGACCCTGATGGCAAGGTGATGTGCCTGCGTTGCGGCTTTCATATGGCTCTTCAACACCATCTAGACGTGAGTCATGATAACCTTTTATCCGCTTATGCTCTTATCTGACATCTTGTCAGAAACATACCTTGCACAATTGCCCTCATGTCAGGGGAAAAGAAGGCGTGCCAGCTATTGAACACCCCATTCTGATAGCTTTCGACTTGCAAGACACACCCATCGAAGTGCCTAAAGAAAATATCATTGCAGCCACCACTGTCATCATCAATGCAGCTCCTGCTGCCATCATCGATGGAGCCCTTGGTGCTGCCACCCCCGCTGTTGTCATTGATGGAGCCCCCACCACTGCCACCACTGCCACCACTGCCCACACTGTTGATGTAGCTTCTGCTGATGTGGCTCCCACTGCCATCATCGATGGAGCCCCCACCGCTGCTGCCCCAGCTGTCGATGTGACCTCCACTGCCGCAGCCCCCACCGGTGCAGCTCCTGCTGCTGATGCAACTGATGCCACCGAAGACGAATTTGCTGAGGCTCCGTGGAGCCCCCGGACCCCAGTTCGGGTCTGTAAAAGGGCCCGCTCGTGCCCTCCAGCACCACGCAAGAAGCGTGAATGGCGTGGGGTGCCGGTCACCCCGGAATCACCTTTGGAAGGCTCCATTTTTCATGATGTAATACATTGGGTGCTACCTTTTTGTTAATGATGTTATTACACACAAAATCCATACATGCTGTGGACCCTACTCACACCATTCTTCAGATATACAGTTTCCAAATGTGATTACAGCCTGCACACTGTACCTATCCAGCTCGTCCCAGAATGACAAGCCCAATAGAGTCAATCCAGTTACACGAACTCATCAACGAGCTTCATGTACTTCTTGCACTCTTCTCAAAAGGGCATGACCCACTTTACCCTCTTAATCTTCTTAAAAATGGGGTGACGACGAAGTCCTGTGCAATGTCTCTGTGCCCATTGATCATGAGCATTTTTTTTGCACATTTATTTGTATACCGTGCTATGTGCAGTTGGAGTAAGGTAAATACAAAAGAGGATGATGTGAGGGAGTGTCGACGCATAGACTAAGAGTGAACTGAGTGGGGCAGGCAGTAGGTGCTGTAAGGAAAACCTGATCACCCAGGATCAGGGGGCGTGAGGGCTGCAGTAGAGAAAGCAGAGGTAGTGAAGATAAAAAAAATGAAGCAATGAAGGCTGGTTGAGTGATGCCACAGCCGATGCAGGTTCAGGAGGGTGGGCATGGGGTTGCGGAAGAGCAGGTGCTGGGCATGCCCATGTCACGGACAATGCAACATGGTATGAGTGCATGTACTAGGGATGGTTAAATTGCATATGCAGGGTGCACCATGATAATAACGAGCAGGGCCTGCAGTTCTAAATTGGGAAGAAAAATAAGGGGCCAGATAACCGTAGCCAGTTAAGGCTTGGGTCAGTCTAGCTTCGATGTCATGTTCGTAATATTTAATAGTGAAAATGGGATGCAGCTTTTGGGAGGGCAGGGAGGGTCACGAGAACTGTATAGCAGTGGGACGATCAGTGAAACAAAATTTGACTTGCCAGAAGGTGGTTGCTCGCTCGCGTGTCCAGCGCCAGATCCACATTAGGGTGGGTAGGACACTATTGGGTAGGAACATGCCTGCTTTAGTGAGACGGTCTGCCACTTCATTTCCCAGTACATCCCGGTGCCCAGGTACCCAGAGCAAAGAAAGTTGTAGAAGAGGATGGTGCTCCATGATGGGAGCAAGAAGTGCCCAAAAGCGAATAGAAAAAGGCTGACCGCCATGTGGGCTCAGCGACAAAATGTTGGAAAGGGCAGCGCAGTTGTCTGTGCAGAGGTATATGTGCATGATCATGGGGTAGGACGCCAGAAAACTGACAAAGCGGCTGGCGACCACTGCCATAGCATAGAGTTCAGCATCGTAGACCTCTGCCCGGTGGCCCAAGCCCCAGGCCTACTCATACTTGACTGCACCCTGATGAATGATGCACGCAGCTGCACCTGCTCTCCAGTTCTTAGGGGCTGCATCAGGTTGGGTGACTTGAGAGCTGTCGGTGAACACCCACAGGGCATGGGGGGAAAAAAATGGAAGAGTGCATAGAGGGATAAAAGAAAGTACTGAGATAGTCAGCCAAATCGTCCTTGGTGGGTGGCGGGACACAAATTTGAACCCATGCACCCCAGGGATGCACAGGTTCCCAAGGGGGTTGCAGCCATGAGTCAAGGCATATGGCCTGTTCAGGGAGTGCCTCCTCGAGGATGTCGACTGCACTAGTGCTGTAGTGAATGGGCACAGTGGGGTTGAGAAGTGAGAAGTTTGGAGGAAAAGTGACGTGATTGGCTGCCAGACACTGGGTTACCAGGTGAGACATGGGAAGGGTGAGGAGGGAGGCAGCTGTGAGGCCATTGAGCTGGTGAAGCTATTGTTGCATTGGTAGGACGCTCGAAATGAGGTTGAGGACGTGATGGGGTGTGGACCTCCAAACATCCATGAACCACCTGAGCACATCAGTTTGTACCTTTTGCAGGGGCTTAAAAAGTGAGCATGGACCCCGTGGGTTATACCACATGGGGCTACCAAATGTGAGCACAGGAAGTACAGTGGTTAGGTAAAGCAAGCGGGCTTGCGTGACCATCATGCCATGCTGAGTGTTAGCGAGCATGTAGAAGGTGGCAACTCAGGAAGAAGCCCTGGAAGCCATGACCTGAATGTGGTGTGTGAATGTAAGGTGACAGTCATACCAGATGCTAAGCCACCAGAGATGTGAAGCAGATTGAAGATCAACAGTACATCCCTCCCACTGAACCTGCAGTGAAGGGTTTACGTCGAGAGAGTGATGAGGAGATGTAAAGTGTATTAGCTCAGTTTTGGCTATGTCAATGGTGAGCCCGAGCTGGTGCAGGGTTCTGCCCATGTGTGGCAGTGTGCGCTGTATGATAGCCACATTCTCGTTCAGGGAGGGAGAGACAATGAGAAGTGCAAAGTCATCAATATAGCCAGCAGTAGACTGCTGTGGATGCACGAATGGATTGAGGTTCACGTAAAGTGGAGAAGAATAAATAATAGAAAGGATGGATGATAGAGGTGAGCCCTGCAGAATGCCTAATGTGGCAACTGGATAGGAGGGTCCCAGCTCTGAGTTGAGCTTGGGCTGCACCATGCAGGAAGAAAGAAATGACATGGTCCATCGGACCTCATTGCCTGGAAAGCCCATCAAGAGCAATGCAGAGTGGAGAATATCATGTTGAATGTTAGTGTAATAACCCTCTACATCCATGCATAGAAGGGTCATAGAGAAATCATTCTTCCAGGCTGTGCATATGCGATGCATAAGGATGACACTGGCATCCACAACAGAGTGCTGGCCCTGCCCACCAAATTGTGAGCCAGGCACAAGGTTATGCACACCAATGTGGAAATTGAAATGCGCAGAGATCACCTTCTCAAGGACCTTACTCAGGGTTTCCAAGAGTGTGATCAGGTGGTGGGCTTTGGGGATGGTGTAGTTGACCTTGCCCAGTTTAGGCAGGTACATGATAGCTGCCTTCCACAGCAACATGGGAAGTTATCTCATATGCAAGGAAGCAGAGAAGAAATGAAAAAGGACATCATGTGTACCAGACCACCATACCCATTTTAACAGCTGTCAAGAGGTACCAGACACCCCGGGCGCAGAGTAATTTGATGCTGCCTCTATGCGGTTGTCACTTCAGATAAAAGGAGGGAGCGGTCTGGCCTCGCTATCAGAGGCACTGAAGTAAAAAGTGGAGGCAAGTCAGGAAGTGGAGGAGAAGGAGAAAAGTAGAATTGAGTGAGCAAACATCCCACGTCTGACGGCAGCGAGCCCACTTCATCACCCAGTTGGATGACAGGCAGTGGGGGCACCCACACTCCTTTGGTCCAGGAGGCAAGCTGCCAGGGGTTTGTGTGCTGAAGCTGAGCGATGGCTTCATGGGTCCAGTCCTTTCGGGCTTGTCAGATGACTGATGAGAGCACTATTTTGGCAGTGTGGTGCTCATCACGAGTGTGGGCATTCTGGACATGAGCACATGCAATGTCACATACATTATTCCATCAGAGTCAGAAGGCTTGGTGAACATGCGTGTGGTGCAGAAAAGCCTCACGACTAGCTACAGTCATTGCCTGTAGCAGGGCCTGGGCTCCAGCCTCGAGGTCATTGGTGGTGGAATAGGTGGATGGTGGTGGGGAGAGCGCAAGTTCTTGATTGAGGCACTGCTCCCATTCTTCGCGCTTGGATACATCGATTCTGAAACCTAAATCAATCTCAATTGGGTGGGTAGTGTGAGAGAGAATGGAGGTTAGCAGAGCATGATCAGACTTGAAAGGGGTGGGGGTAGCGGTGACTCCGTGAACATGAAAGTGTTCACCAGAGGTCATGCAGATTAGGTCAATGATTGTATCTGAGAGCAGATTGCCATTGACTATATGGGTGGGTTGATCGAGGTCATTAAGTATTGCCAGCAATTCATGCTCAAGCCACTGGGTAAAGGTGGATGAGGCAGGTGAGGATGGTCGCGATGCACGATCTGTCCAGGACCAAAGGGGATGATGAAGGTTGAAATCACCCACAACAAGGAGGTTCACCTTGGGTGGTAGAGGGAGGTCATAAAGGATGGGTAGAACATGGTGCTGAGACCGTGGTCCCTCGTTATAGCAGTTAACGACAAAGAAGGATAAGGTGGGATCAAGACATGACACAAATTGAACCACGACTAAGTCAGGATCTGACACCAGGTCAGTGTGCATGGAGATATGATATGTGTCTAGAAGTGCACACCGGACCAAGATGCTAGCTCAAGGTCATGGCAATGCAGTGGTTGAGTGAAAGTGAAAGGCATCCAGGCCATAGGGCCAAACATTGGCATGACCATAGATGATAGCACCGGTCTCAGAACCATGAGGGATATTGATCCCGATTTGCCCCCACCATGGCTCCTGAAGGAAATAGATATCATAAGAGGATGATGAAATGAAACTGTGGACGCACGGATTAGATCAGGCCACATTCAAATGAGCAGTTGTGAGATTCATGAAGAAGGGTTTGTGCACGAGATGGAAATGTGGTAGTCTTTCCATGCAGGGCATGTGGAGTCTGTGGCGCTGTGGCCATTGGTGCCACATACAATACAGAAATAGTGGGTGGGGTCGCAGAGTTGCCCCGTCAGACAATTCTTATGATTGCACATCAAGCACACATTACAGTGCATGTCAGCGGTGTGATCAGTTTTGTCACAGAAGTGGCATATGGGGGCATGCTTCTTGCAATGGCCCTCGAGATGAGTGAGATGCCAGCATCATGTGCACTGATGGAAAATGGATTTATCCTTGGATTTCTTTACAGTCATCTGGGAACCGTAGAACCATATGAAACCTGCAGCGTTACTGCAGTTATCACACCTAAGAAGGTTACGTGCACAGAAATCACGGTGAGTGTCCTCAACAGACACGATGATGAATGGTTTCCCAAGCTGCTCCCCCTGCTCTGCGGGAATAACAAAGCTCAGTAATCTGTTAAAGTGAACTGTAGAGAACATGAAGTTTCTGTGAAGCTCCGCAAGAATCTCCTTCTCACTGAGCATAGCACCCATGTCAGGGTGGTGAAGAGGGCAGCTCGGGATAAATAGTTTTGTAACAGGGACAAGTGGACGGAAGTCCTGAGGCATGGTGGCTGGCTCCCATGGGCCTGGCACAGGTGAAGATGCTCAGGGTACAACACTGAGCAGATGCCATATAGGGCACAGGCACTCATGGATGAGAGCATCTGGGGAGTCATTCGAGAAAACTGCCATGACCTTGGTAGGTCCAGCAAAATGGAGATCGAGGAAGTTTACCTTTGCCCATGCTGGCATTTTGCGCAGGCAGGTGTGGATTTTGGCATACCACTGCAGCATGGTTTCACCCTCCTCAATGAAGTGGTGTTGCTCATGAGTGATGAGGAGCACGTAGCTCTTTTCTTGAGTCTTGGCAGCAACTTGGGCCATGGTAGGGGCAGTGGGTGCCGGTGCAGTAGGTTGGGCCTTGATCACTGTGGTGGGGGCATTGGTGTGGTTGCAGTTAGCAGGCATGGCAGGTGGGTTCTGCAGGCCAGTTGGCTTTGAGGGCAGCTGGCTGTGAGCAAGCTGCGCCTCGATAGCTATAAGCCTCATGGTGATGGCCATGTTGGCCATGCAGATGCCATTCTTCACTGCCTTGGCAACTGCAGCCTGAAGGTTGATGCTCACAGGGAGGGTGGTTTCATGGCATCTATAGGAGCTAGCTGAAATAGGTAGTTCATCGTCATAATTGTGAGAGGGGCTCATGGCTGTAAAGAAATGGTCAAATATTTTTATGGCCTCATTGCCCGGGTTAGAGTTGTCAAGAACTGGGTCCTCCATGAGTTCGGTGTGGAGCTCTCGGCAGGTGGTAGTGAGAAGTTAGACAACCTGGACGAGGTCATCGATGAAGGTGGTCAGGTTGACGTTCTGGATGAGGGGCTGAATGGTGCCTTCGATGGACTTGATGTTGTTGTTGACGTGGTGCAGGAGGCCGTTGAATTGCACAGTGGTTACTGGAAGAGGAAGGATGAATCATGAGCATCAGCACATGGATGAGGTGCAGGTGGTTGATGATTGACCAGTTGTTGAGGATCCTACCATGCAATATTAGTCTGAAAAATATGCTGAGTGAAGGATAGAGACAGATGAAGCATCGACCATGGTCATGTCACCATCAGCACCAAAAATGGCATTGAATGAGTGCTGCACCTCTTTCAGGTATGGCCTGATGTTGCATGCATGCTTCACATGAAACTGCTTCAGAGCAACATAGAACTTGACAGGGTCCTTCATCTCCATCCCCATGCCTTCCTGTACCTCATTTGGGAACTCCTGTAGTAGCTGCATGTTCGCCTTGCTCCACAGGCTCAATGCCACAAGTGAGTCCAACAGAATGAGGTGCCTGAGCCCCTTGGGCTGCCTGTGGACCTTGAACTCAGATATGAGAATACCACCCTACAAGTGGCTGAGGAGATCAAATGCATCCTGGATGGTGAAGTGCTCGAGCAGGCTAATGAGCTCATTGATGAAGAGATCAATGGTCCACAACATTGGTGGCTTCTCCTTGAGGTGTGTCGAGTGCCCATTGCTGAGCTGATCATAGAGAATGATGGGGATGGATGTCATGGTGAGGTTGGACAATGAAAGCATGCAGTTATGCATAAGGCCAAGCCCACCATGGAGAATGATGATGGGTGGGCATGTGCAGCTCATGAGGTCACCAAAGAGTTTGTAGTACATCTGAAAGGTCTCACCTTGATGGGTGAATGGGACCATTCTGTCCATCATGGGGTTGACCATGGTAGCGAGGGGATGGGAGAACCTTTGGAATGTGTGTGAGATGCTCTGTGCCATGAATTGCATGTGCACTTGCCTGAAGAGAAGGAGCAATGACCTGATGCTCAGTGACAGGACTTACTGACCAGTGAATATGCCACTTATGACTTCCATTCTGAACACCCACCAGATGTCATAGAGAAACAGTCTTGAGAGGAGGACACATCCAGTCTTCAACGAGTCGATCTTGATCAGTGATATCGTGTTGTGAGAAAATACCAATGCAGGTATGTTGATCAATGAGGTGGAGGGACAGGTAGTAATGAAACTAAAGCTGTACAAGATCGATGTGAGTGCACCAATGAACAGAGAATACCATGTGGGAGTTTGCACAGATACAGATGTGAGCTCTGCATGAGTGAATAGGGGAATGAACCGGCGATTGAGTATGGAACACATGTTGTGGTTTCTTCAAAACAAGGATTTGTGTCTTCTCAAATTCCCTCTGCTGCTCACTAGCCATGATTTACTTCATTAGCAATATTAGTGAATGAGAAGCTCAGTGTCAACATGATATATGCCAGAAGGGTCAAGGAGTGGATGGAGGACAAGCTAAGTTCAGTAACACTAGAAGAATCTGCTGTCTGGGTTCCAAGGTCAGATCCACACTAAGCAGGCCTCCTAGGCATCTGACCATGAGAGAGGATGAGAAACACAATTGGAACAGGCATGGAGCATTAGAAAAAATAATGGTCAGGTGACTGTTGCAATCGATCTCAGTGCGTTAAGTCAACAGTCAACTGCTCCAGCTAGGTAGTGCATTGCAAGAACACCCTATGGCCACTATGGCATTTCTTCTTATCTGGCAGACTGATCAATGCTTGCACACAGTTCTCTTGCTCAACCTGTTTTTTGTTCTGTTAATTCTGCTCATCTGGGTCTTTGGAGCCTGGTTCACTGCTCAGGAAGAAAAGGAAGCTCACATTAAGAAAGATGAGGAAAACATGCAACCTGAACTTAATGAGTCCATGCATGCATCACAAGGTGGAGATATCATTCTCTACTAAATTTATTTCACTTTAGTGTTTTCCTCACTTCTAATTTTTGTGAAATCTCTAGAACAGACTGTGCCACCAGCACCCCCATCTGCAGAAACACACTGCGGCACTCAGACACATGCATACAGGACATCTCATCAGCCAGATCTCTGTTCTCAGTGACCTCCCAGTGACATTACTCAGCAAACTACATGACCTTCTCGATTTTTCAAGGGCAGACAGATTGGTGAGGAATGGGATTTGAATGGTATTCATTGCAAGGTTGATCAGGATGGACAGCATCTTTGCCAAAAGCAAACTTGTTTACAATTTCAGATGATGAGTGGTGCTGTAAATATTGCCATCAATAGCTTCTGAAACCATCTTTTCTAGCTGGAGGATTCTCAACATCTGGATTGTACAGCCACCCAAGAGGTTTTCATGGAAAAATGGCTTTCTGAAGAAGAATATCATGCTGTGAAGGAAAAGTGGCAACTTGCATGGCAGCAAGAGGATGGCTGCAGTGATGTGGACATAAGCGATATTTATTCTGTAATTAATTGACATTCAATGGTTCACACTATTCATAGCAGTTTGTGAAAGATGGGCTTTGCAAAGAGCTCCACAGGATGAACATTCAACTCACCCAGCTCACAAATTGTCACAACAACATCTTGCAAGAGCCATGCGGGCTTTGCGAGGAACTTCATAGAGCAAATGGTCAACTTGAATTGGTGACACAGCAGGGCCAGGAGGCCTTGCGAGATGTCAACCAGCTTAAGGAGCAGTTGAATATCGTGAACTGTCAACTTGCACCAGTCACAGAGCATTACCAGCAGGAGGTCGAGTATCTTTGTGCTCAACTTGAATCAACCACGCTGCAGAGCCAGGAGACCTTGCAAGAGGTCAGCCAGCTTCAGGGACAGCTCGATATCGAGAACAGTGAAATTGCATCAGTCATGGAGCATTACCAGCAGGAGGTCAAGCATCTTCATGCTCAACTTGAATCAACCATGCTGCAGAGCCAAACGACCTCATGAGAGATCAGCCAGCTTCAGGAACAGCTCGATATCAAGAACAGTGAAACTGCATCAGTCACAGAGCATCACCAGCCAGAGGTCGAGCATCTTCATTCTCAACTTGAATTGACCACACTGCAGGGCCAGGAGACCTTGCAAAAGGTTAACCAGCTTCGGTGGCAACTAGATATCAAGGATGGTCAAATTGTGTCAATCACGGAGCATCACCAGCAGAAGGTCAAGCATCTTCATGCTCAACTTGAATCGACCATGCTACAGAGCCAGGTAACATCAGGAGAGGTCAACCAGCTTCAGGGACAAATTGATATCAAGAATGGTGAAATTGCATCAGTCACGGTGCATCACTGACAAGAGATTGAGCACCTTCATGCTCAACTTGAATTGGCCATGCTGCAGAGCCAGGAGACCTT